GGATTTGAAGAAAGCTGAAGAGGAAAGGCTCTTGCGTCTGCAGAAGGAAGCCGAGGCCCGTGTTGCATGTGTTGCCATTCGAGTATACTCTTCGTCCCACGCAAGTCCTCACCATTGCTTGACCAGGAGTTGAAGATGAGGGAAGCCGAGGAGCTGTTAAGCAAGTTGCCGTGTCAATCTTTTTGTTGTCGGTTTAGGGTTTAGGGTTTAGGGGTTTAGGGTTTAGGGTTTAGGGTTTCATTGCTTGACCAGGCTTTGCAGAAACAGCCTTGACCAGGCTTTGAAGAGAATGCAAGAAGAGGAGCTGTTGCGCAAAGCACAGGAAGCCGAGGCCTTTAATTATATGCCGTCCGAATTCTGTTTTGCTGTGCCGGTTTTCCTGACCATTGCTTGACCAGGCTTTGAGGAAACGGGAAGCCGAGGAGCTGTTGCGGAAGCATAAGGAAGCCGAGGCCCGTGTACGCTGCCGTGTCGTGTTCTCGGCTTTCCGCTGCTTGACCAGGCTTTCGAGGAGCGGCTTCGAGCGACGGTACGTGAAGCCGAGGCCCCTAGCTGTTGCTGTCCGAGTCATCTTTTCAGGGTTTGCTCATTATTGCTTGACCAGGCATTGAAGAGAAAGGAAGAAGAAGAACTGTTGCGCACACAGAAGGAAGCCGAGGCCTCTATGCCATCCGACTTCTGCTGTTTTTTTTTCTCCGGGTTTCCTGACCATTGCTTGACCAGGCTTTGAAGAAGCAGGAAGAAGAAGAGCTGTCGCGCAAACAGAAGGAAGCCGAGGCCTTTATGCCATCCGACTTCTGCTGTTTTTTTTTTCTCCGGGTTTCCTGACCATTGCTTGACCAGGCTTTGAAGAAGCAGGAAGAAGAAGAGCTGTCGCGCAAACAGAAGGAAGCCGAGGCCTTTATGCCATCCGACTTCTGCGTTTTTTTTTCCGGGTTTCCTGACCATTGCTTGACCATGCTTTGAAGAAGCAGGAAGAAGAAGAGCTGTCACGCAAACAGAAGGAAGCCGAGGCCCTTATACGCCGTCGGACTCCTATTTTGTCGAGTTTCCTCGCAATGACTTGATCAGGAGGCAGAGACGCGGCGTGCTTTGAAGGAAGCCGAGGCCCGTGCCGCCGTTGTTGCAGTCCTTTTTACGGGTGTCCTCGCCAGTGCTTCACCAGGCTTTCCAGAAACCGAAAGCCGAAGACATGCGCAAGAAGAAGGAAGCCGAGGCGCGTGGTGAGGTCCCAATCTTTTTTACTGCTTCCCACACCGTTGCTTGACCAAGCTTTGAAGGGAAAGGACGACGAAACACAGCAGAGCCAAGCCGGGGCCTGTCTTAAGACTTGCGGTTTGCTGTTGTTGGGTTTCCTAATTGACCAGGCTGGGACGCAGAATCTTGCCAAGCTCCTGAATGATGAGGCCGCTTGACGTCCATCGCACAATCTGCTCACGAGTTCTGAACTGGACAGGTGTCTGCAGGACAAAAAGGCACGCAGGCAGGACTATGCTACACGTCAAGCCCCCAGCGCAAATCACGTTCCATGGAACTTGGAAATTAAGGTGGCGACTTTGATGAAGGAAATCCAGGAGTTGCGGCAACAGCGGGAGGCCTCATCTGTGACAACATTATTCACACGGAGTCTTGCAAAACCCACAGCTAGAGACGTTGCCATTATCACGTTCGCAGGAATTGGAACGGAAGACCAAAACCGCCGCCCCGCAGGATGGCGACACATGAGCGCATTGCCAGTGTGTAGTTGTTTCCATATGTGGAGCCTGTGCGGCGAGGCGACCATTCCGGATTGGTATCTCGACAAGATCACGGGCGGGAGCGGTGAACAGAGTGATGGGAAGGATTGCTCGTGCAAAGATACTTTAAACCGGTATGTAGTATGTGCAACTGGTTTTCTGGATTGGGATTTACCTTGCAGGCAAGGAGCCAGAGACGACGCCAGAAGACCCGGACCTCATTGAAATGGGATGGGGAAAGGCGCCGGTCAAGGTCAAGGAGGAGGAGAAAGCACCGCAAAAGGCAAACCATGCTGTGCAGAAGCCCGCCACAAAACCGGTGCCTGAGCAGCCTGCTGACGAAGGGTACAACCATCGCAAGGCCGCCATGGCTTTGCTTCGCTTGCGGCGGAACCAGAACCGCGTGGCGGCACTGCCGGACACCCTCCGCAACCTGATCGAGACTGATGACGACGGGGCTCGCAAGCTCCTGAAGGACCACGGAGGAAACGTGGAAGAGATGATCCAGTCTGTGAAGCGGAGACGACGACTCCTTTGACCGAGTTTCAGGACTGCAGATGCTTCTTGTTGTTCCAGCGCTTGCTTCGTTGCTTGCTCGCTTTCCGCGCACGAGCCCTGAAAGGTGCTGCAGATGTACGGCCCCGTGAAGGGAGCCGAGGTGATCAAAGAGAAGACGGAGCGAAGGGAAACGGTTGAGGACAAAAACCTGGCTGGGAACATCCTCTACCTCGTCGCGAACGACAAGCTGGAGCTCAGCAACACGTCCGGGAAGCGACACGAGCGGAGTCGCTCCACCGACGATCGCCCTCAGGGATCACGTGCAACGGCTCCACCGCCTTCATCCGCATCCAAAAGCACGACGTCTGCTCCATCTACTCCGGCTACTCCGGCTACTCCGGCGGAAACTACCAAGGAGGAGGAGCCCAAGCCGAAGCCGCCCAAGCCCAACAAAAAGCCCAAACCCATGGGACCCACAACGCCTCTAGACAAGGCGGAGAGCTTGTGCAACGAGGTTCTGAAATGCAAGACCGAGGCCAGCAAGCTGACCACGCAGCTCAAGAGCTTGAGCTACGCAGACAGGCTCGTCGAGGATTTGGAGAAGTACATCGTGAGTTATGACACCCTGTACTGCGACATCAGGAAACTGACCCAGCAAAAGATCGACGAAGAAGGACCCTACATCGTGCATGTGAAATCCTTTGTCGATCTTCAAAAACGTTTCCAAGAGATCAAAGCGAGTGCAACGGCCATGGCGAGAGGGGTCAAAGCCAAGGCGGCCGCCAAAAAGGGTGCCAAGAAGAAGTCTGCTGAAGAGGCTGCCTGAGCATCCGCCTGGGACTTCATTCTGCCTAATGGAAGGCACTGTAGGATTTTTGCGAGCTGGCTAGCTAGCTCTTCCTGTTCGAAGTTGCGGAAACCATTGGAATGCCAATGTTTCCTTGGGATGCCTCCTCAGGAGCCGCCAGATGAAGCCAGTCGACAAAAAAGACCGGTCATTCCGCAGATACTGTCCTGGATGCCAGGACTATTTCTAGGTATAGTACTTTTGGTATTACTGCTACTACTATTACTACTACTTCTACTACTACTACTACTACTACTACTGCCACTACAGGTTGGATCCCGAGCCGCGTCCCTCGAAGGTGAGACGAAGGTTGCCGCAGAGCTGTGCTCAGATTCTATTGTCGAATGGAGTGGCTTTGCATGCTGGAACAAGCTATAATCGCTTTAGGTTTCCCGCCCAGGAGCGCCGAAAGTCTTGATTCTGTGGGATGCCGGTTTCTGGCGGAAGAGATTGCGTGTGGCGGTCTGAGCGTGAGGAAACTTAATAGCTGAGTGGAAACACTCTCAAAGTTTTCACTTCAGAGGATACCTCTCAAGTCTATACTTCTATAAAATCTCATCGCCTCAGGAAAAGCAGCTTCATTGCTGAAGCCTTCGTCCAAGACGGCGCCCGGGGCGCTTCGGCGAGGAATCTCAGCTCGTCAAACAGGGCACGCGATTTCTATCGCTGGATTAAAACGCCTTGCAAGCCCTACCAGGCCTGAAGACATCGACGTACTCTTGGCAACATCATTGCTTGTTTCATATGATATATAAGCCAAAAGTCAAGTCACCTGCCGGCAATTCTGTCGCAGGCCATGGTTCCGCTCTTGGCCACGGACAAAGACAAAACAACAGCGGTTATGGAGCAGGTTGCCTTCGTTCTTCCAAGTCGCATGCTCCATGAATGCCAGAAAAAAGGCCGCATGTCGAACGATGTTTACGGCGCCTCCGGATTCTCCAGCCTGTACGAGTATTGGAAACAAGACGACCAGAAGTGGATAATCAAACAAGGCTTCCGCGACTCCATGGCCACAACTATCCCACTCAACTTCCACGAAGATGGTGTGCCGGCCTTTCGTGAAGAGAGCTACAGCTTTTGGAGCTGGATGCTCGGCTGCGCATGAACACATCTCAATTCCTGGTCGACTCATGTCGTGCTACTTCTAAAATTCGTCCCAGGAGCGCTCTCAGCCGGAAAAGAGCGCAGGACAGTCGCTTCTTGGTGGTTGGATTGGCGAGTAGTCGGATAGTGCCAGCGACGAAAGCTGCGATTGCAGCCATTATCGCCTGGGATGTGCGGCACCTTCAGTGCAACCAGTGGCCTCATGAAGACCACCTGGGCCGTCCGTGTCTTGGCCGGATCTGTGAATCATTGTATTTCCCGCTCATTTGTGCTGCTCCAGGCTCAAAAAAGGAGCCTTGGACGCCGAGAGAGCTGGCCAGCCTATTCTGCAAGGGGGTCTTACGGCAACTTTCTGCACCTGGAAAGGCGACCTCGAAGCCAGGGTTTCATCTCACGATCTTCGAGAGAGGCAGTACCGCTCTTCTTTTGCATTCGGCAGAATGCTTATAAATCACCAGTCTAAGTGAACCTGATGCTTGACTTTAGCTCCATAATTCCAAAATCACATATCTTCCAGGTTGCAAGACCATTTGCGATCTCTGCTGTGCCGGTTTTGCTGGTGTGTCCTGGGGCGACTTCTCGCCAAAAGCGACATGGCGATGGACGGAGGGCGTTTCGGATTGGGAAGACACAAGCTTTTGGAAAGTCGTGCCTGGCTACGATCGCAGCAGGATCCGTTTGGATTGCAACGTGGCTTCAATATTCCTACGACCCTCAGTTCCTATGCCAGCCAAATTCTATAGTGCCTAATAAGTATACCAATCATGTAGTATTTACATTCGATCCTAGTTTGCTCTAGGATCAGAATATTACAGGCCTGCACTTACTGCCCATCGGTGTCTTGCAAGACGTCATCGCCCCGTTGCTCTGGGAATGGCTGGAAGATTCGAGCTTGCACCGTTTTTGCGGTCTGGAACCCTCGGCCAGCTGGGATGATGCGCTTGTGTCTTTCACAGCAAAAGCACGTGCGTGGGCACGCGCGCGAAAGCTGGACCTCTGCATCAAACCTCTCACGATGAAAAAACTCAACTTGACGTTTGCTTTGGACCGTTGGCCAGAGTTGGAGGGCCGGGTCAAGGTGGCTCGGATCTTGGAGGGGTTTCATATATATTCTAGTTGCTACAGCTTCAGACCTGGACACACGCAGCTCTAATGTGCTGCTTCGCCTGCATGTCAAATGAGCTCAGCAACCAAGGCAGGGAGACGCAAGGTGTTGATGCACTTCGTTGCCCATGCTGCCGTGGCAATCGACACACTTGCTGCAATGAAGTTTTACTTCTGAAGATGATGTGAGAATTTGATAAGTCTACATGTAGTGGTCCCTAAAATAGAATCCCAAAGGTTACTGTTGATGGACGAAATCCTGCATGTCCTTAAGAATCTTAAACAATGGGAATTATGGTTTATTCTTATAATCGGCAACGCAGGCTTTTGTCCATCAACCGTAGGGCCGTAGGATCCTTCAATATTCTTGTCATAAGCAAGCTGCAAGCTTGCTTAGGAGTTGAAAGAAACCCGGACGTGTTGAATTTACAACCAGGAGCAGGAACTGCCTGACAATGCGACGGGGCACGCCGTCTTTATGGCTCGACAACGAACAACTATGGCCTGGTCCGTGAGCACCCTCCTGCAGCTGTGGGCAGCCGGCAGCAAGCCCTATCTGTCAGACAATGAAGTGCGGGAATCGACATTCTTGGGCGATCTCTTCTTGGCGACCTTTCAACGACTGGCTGCATACAATGTCCACGCGAACAAACTGCTCTATCATTTTAAGCCCAAGATTCACATGCTGGGACACTTGTTCGAGTTTGCTGCCCAAACCAAGGAGAACCCGGAGTCTTTTTCGAATTGGGTGGACGAGGACAACATGAAGTGGCTGGCAAAAATAGCCGCATCACTGAAGCCGAAAACGGCCGGACAACAACTGTCCCTCTGGCATGGTCTCGCGATGGATGAAAACAATGGGTCGAGACGAACTCGATCCAGGATTTAGGGTCTTTGCAAGCCCCATCAAGAGCCGAGCAAGCCCCACCGAGAAGCCCCACCGAGCCGAGCAAGCCCCACCGAGAGCCGAGCAAGCCCCTCCGAGAGCCGAGCAAGCCCCACCAAAGCCGAGCAAGCCCCACCGAGAGCCGAGCAAGCCCCACCGAGAGCCGAGCAAGCCCCACCGATCGAGAGCCCGTTGCTTGGGTGCATGTACAGCTTG